TCGAACTCATGCGGAAGTGGCTTAGTTTCTTAGTGCAGTGCTTTAACCCGCTGCGCCACCAGGGAGGGCCAGGTTTTGGTTTTTTTAAATACAACATGAATAAAATATAATTTTACATTTATACTAGATGGTATGGCATAACATGTCTTTATCTGGACCTGGTGAACACAAAATTACTTAATTTGGGATCTTTTTTTTTGGTTGTTTGACTGCAAAGAAACTTTATTCTTAGGCTTTCCTTGGTCTTTGTAGTCAGCATGGTTCTTTCACTAATTATTGCCCTTCACTCAGGCATGGCTTTATCAGCCCCTTTTTGCCTTACCCCTAAACTTGAAACTTTTTTTATCTTCACCATACAGAAAGAGCTGGCATAGTTCATATTTCAAAATGCCTTCTGATTGGCATTTTGTGTGTGGAATGGATCACCAGAATTACTAATATATTTCCATATTAAGCATTTAGTATGTAAGAGTGTTGTTCATTATGGTTGGGGCTGTTCTGAATTAATATGACAAGCTAATGAGATCTTCTGAAAGTTTCTTTCCAAACTTTTTGATCTAATGTTTTCATTCTGGCCAATAGGACAGACTACATAGTGGTTTTTAATACTTTGTAAGCAGTTACTGTTCTTTCAAGCCAGATGATATATGCCAACTCCTTTTTCTGGACAGGGAGAGTTTTTGCAGGGATTGCTATAGTAAAACCTTATGTCACTTCTTACAAAACTTTTCTTTAAATAAATCAATACTTACAGAAGATTGTCACAGAACTTGGAGCACCCCCTTTCACTTATGAAGATTGTTGATTCTGAGATTTGAGTATAAATGTATGTAAATTTTCATTTTAAAGCTTTGTAGGAGCAAGTGGTCATTGATGAAGTTATCTTAAAAATGCTGTTTTTAAAGATAAACACAAACAAAATGAAGAATTCAGATGACAAGAAGTGAATGATCCTTTTGCTGCTTATAGTTAGGTGCTGAGTGGGGGGTTGGCCACTGTGACAACACTGTTAGTAATTAATAGTGTGTGAAGCTTAGGGAGCCCCTGAAAACTCTCCCTATCCATAGCCAGATGTAGACAGTCTTCTCTACTGTAGCACCATGGATTTTAGCTCTTGACTGTATGCATAGTAGTTATTGTTTTACAGTTGTTATTTTTTTGACAGATTTTTTTTAAACACACAGGTAGGTGTCTGAGTTCTACAGGCATTTTATTTTCACTTATCCAGATTAAAACCCTAAGCTGCTGAAATTCAGTGATACTTTTTCTTTTATCTTCACATTTGTAACTCAGAATTTGGAGTGTGAATTTGATAAAGTGGCTTTTTTTTTAATTTTCTTAGTAAATAACTTTAAATATATTTTACTGAGATTCTTATCAAAATTTTTATTTCTTCAAGGTGTTGACTTTAAGGTGAAGACAATTTCAGTGGATGGAAATAAGGCTAAACTTGCAATATGGGTAAGAGCTTTTAAAATATATATTGTATTAAGTATTAAACTCAAAATATTTAGAGCAGAGGTTGATGTGTGTAATATTCCAGAGGTAAGCATACCACTTGTATTAAATAATATCTTTCAGTTTGGGTAAGTAGGCAGGGGATTGATTTACTTAAGTTTTTAATATATAATCTTCTAAGCAAAGTGTAAAACAAATCATGTTGTCTAGCAGATAGATACATGATTGAATATGTTTCTTTAAAATTTTAAGACAGCCTGGATAGGCCTAACACTTAAAGGGAGTTGTTGGAGAGAAGGCAGATGCAGTGATACTTAGGGAAAAAATTACTTTTCACATTGTTAGTTAGATATAAAATTGGTCTCCCAGCTTTGGCTTTTTATTGAAAACTGCTGTCCATTCCTTATGTAGGTCTTTTCATTGGCTTGTGAGTTCAATCATTGTGATCCATGTTGCTATTCTAGCTAGACCTCTTTCTGATAGTTCTCAATCAGGTGGCGCCAAGTGAACAATATCCACGATGATTAGTATTTATATCTGTCTACCCATTTCTCTCTTCTTTTGCCCTCACTCCCTCTCTCCTTCCTTTGTTCACTCTTCTCTATCTAAATATGATTACTGACATTGAAATATATCACATTATTTATAAAATATGCTATAAAAATCAATCAGTAAGGCTTACAGAAAATACTGGGCAGTGTTGGATTAGGCTGTAGTAAAATGCACCGAATTGTTTTAAGACTGCTGGCTGCTTTGTGCAATAAAGTGGGGCCTTGTTTTCCTCATGCTTTTGTTCATGATTGCCTGCCATATTTCTGCCTTTGAGACTGCTTTGTGAAATAATACAGATTAGCTCTTGCAAATGAGGAGTTTTTGTTTTTAATTAAGTTTCTAGGTACTGTCTAATAAAAAGATTAGCAGGTATTACTGAAGTAATATCTTTTTCACAGACCTATAAATAGGTTTTAAAGAAGAAAGGTTTCCCTCTGACTATAAAGATAACAGGCTCATTCTCAAAAGGATAATGGAAACAGTAAGAAATTAGTTGTAGAAGTTCATCTTTAACCAGTGTGTACCTTTTAGTGAATATCCTTTAAAATATCCCAGCACATACATACTGTTAATATATACTGTATATGTAGTTTTTTAAAATTTTCACCTGTCTTCTCCTATTCCCCCCCCCCGACACCTAACACTCTACTTTTCTGTGTTAATGATTATAGGTGTGTCAGTTTAAATGGCTGCCACTATTCCATCTATAAATCTACCTTAATTTAGTCAGATAGTGAAAACTTTACATTACTGCTAGTATTAATGCTCTGATGAGTCCTAATGTGGGCATCTATGTGTACTTGTTCTGTTACTTTAGGATTTATACTTATGTGTATAAATTTGCTTTTTGTGGATGAGAAAGACTGACAAAACATAGATCTCCACCTAGATACATACTCTGTGTGTCCATATATTGCCGGTATTTCCTCTCTTTCTGAATAGTAGGGTTTTACTTGTATTTGCTTTCTATTTGGTTTGTGAGGTTTTTTCTTAATGTATTGATTATTTTTTTTGTAACTTTTAATATATTTTGTTCATTTTAAGTAAATATATATCATTTTTATGAATAAATCCTTACATAGTAAAAATGTTACCTTTTTATCAGGCTCTATTTTCCCACTGTCATTTGTCTTTAAAATCTTGTTTAAGATGAATAAAGATTAATGATGTGTGTGTATAAAATGTTAACTATCATATGCTTTAGATATTTTTTCTATTTGTCATTCACATTCACATCTTATCTAGGGGTAGGAATCTAGATGTTTGCCATGCCAAGCCTTCGGTACTTATATGGTCAATCAGTTGTTTTCTTCCTATCATCTGGGTGTCATGTTACGTTCAGGTAGCCTTTTTCAGTATTCAAAATACATGAAGTTCCCCCAATTCTGGTCTTGCTATAAATAAAGCCAGTTCCTCTCTCACTGGAAAACTTCCTCTAGGGAGGAATGCAGTGGCAGGGAAGGGCTGCATCACATGGTAACCCACTCAGCACCTGTCAGGTTCTGTGCCTTCCTTCTGTTTATATCCGTCACTCACATTCCTAGGTCCTTTCCAACTCTTTTTTCTTCTCTATCATAAAGAAGAGAGTAAAACCACAAAAGGAAAATGAAATGTTCTGTTTCATTTATCTTTACAAAGATATTATTATACTCATTGCTTATTCCTATTTTGAAAACAAAAACAAACAAAACTCTAACTTCTGACTGAGCATATAAATTTGATAGTATTACAAATCCTAATTTAATTAATATTGTAACACAGCCTGTTTTGCCCATAGTGTATCTAAAAATGTCAAGACTAAACATTTGGCTTAGTTAAATATTTACTTGCAAACTGTCAGAATCATGTGTGGTAATATTTTGCCATTAAAGCAGTTATTTGTTGTAGTCTTTTGTTACTGCATGAATTTTTCTATTTACAAATTTTAATTTTGGTACTCTTCCACTGCAGGATGGCATAGGTAGAGGCACATTTTGTCATGGTGAGAATCTGGAAGCAAGGATATTCTACATTAATGTATCTGTGGAAAAGTAGTAGATGTACAAAGAAACTACATATTGCTAGAGACTGTCACTGCTAGTTTAAAATTCTTCTCTAATCTTTTAAAACCTCTTGGGAGTTATTATATTTTCTATATTTGAAAAACTTGTGGTTGCCCTGTAGTCATCACTTTTGTAACCATGGGACTCATGGTTAAGTTGAAAAGTTTGTTTTATTTTTCTTTAGGTTACTTTACATTAGCACACTGCATACTTTTTCTTCAAAGTCTACATAGTAAACATTCAGTCTACTGTCAAGGTAGACATGTGAATGGGCTTGACTGGTTCTAATAAAACTTTATTTAATAAAAGTTTACATAAAATAAGAGACTGGCTGTGGAAGCAGATTGCCGACTACTGCTTTGAATAGTTTGTATTGAAGCTACCATATGATTGTAGAAAGGAGACAGAAAGCCATCCAGAGCAGAGACTCTTTTTAATAGATTATTCACTCTTATTATTCCAACAAAAGTTTAACAGCTACCCATTGCAAAATTATTTTAGGCATTACAGTTAAACTGGTGATCAAGTCAATGAAGTCACTTCCTTAAGAAATATAGCTAGTGTTCATCTTACATTGATTGCCCTAATGCGAGTCAGAAACATGCATTAATTTTTAGTTCTACCTAAAATAAGGCATCCCTGTAATTCTGTGTAAATCAGTGGTTTTCAACCTTGATTCCAGGTTAGGATCACCTAGAAAGATTTTAAAAACATCTGTCAGACCCTAGACCAGATAAATCAGTCTTCTAGGGGGTTGGACCGGGCGTGTTTGTGTCCTTTCCCCTCGGTGTAGCCAGAGTTGAGAACCATGGCCTTTCAGTGAAAAGGGTTTCATGTATGATACTCATTTTAAACCCCCCAAAATAGGAAGCCTTTATTTAATGACTCAGTATTTATTGTGTTCTATGTAATGCTTGTAAAAAAAATCTTACGTAAATTTCAAGTTTTAAATTAACTTATTTTTAATAATGCTGTTTTTGTTTTCTACTCAAATTAGTATGTTGAAATAATAGTGTTAGTAGTTGTACTTTTATTTAATAATAATTGATTGTCATTTCTAGGATACTGCTGGTCAAGAGCGGTTCAGAACATTAACTCCCAGCTATTATAGAGGTGCACAAGGTGTTATATTAGGTAAATATTTCACTGTAATATACTTGTCCCAGGAATTTTTGATTTTCATTGTCATTGAACGTCAGTACACTTTTGTTTTATGTTACACGAGGTTATATCCACGTAGTACTAATGCACATTTAAGATTTTAAAATGTCTTTCTAGCCCTTAGCTTCACAATAAAAAATAAAGATCAAACCAGGTTATTTACTTTAAGACTCCATGTTGATAGGGGCACATTTAAGATTGATTATAGTTGGCATTTTACTAGTAACAGATGACCAGTCATCAGTCTATTAATATTTGCTGCAGTTTAAAAATTAGAGTGTTTGTTGTTTAGTAGAGTTTGTCAGTCCAGAAAATTGTATTTAAGACTATGTAATCACACAGAATTTGAAGACCAAGTGTAGATTCTATTCTTAATGTAAATTGTTGAAAAGCGCTTGTCTTAATAAATTTCAGATAGCTGTCTAAGACGAATATTGATTATATCGTGACCTATGAGACTAGCTTCAAAATGTTAAAAATTTAGAAAACACTATAATAAGCCTTTCATTATAATGCAGAATTATATAAGATAAAGTTGATAATAGAGGAAGATAATTAATGTCCCATTCACTGACTCTACATATTTTTCCAAAGCTGCAAATTTTGGTCCTTGTAGGTAACAAATCAGCAGGGTCATAAATATTTAAATTAATGTAAAACAGTTTGCTCTTTTGCAACAAGTTTGGACCTAACAATTTTAGGTTTTTACATAAACCTCTTGTTACAAATGGGCACCACTGTCCTTTTGTTAGCTTAATTTTCATTTATCTTATAGGGTATGTTTTTTTTTTTTTTTTTTTAAGATTTATTGGGCTTGGTGCCCCTCTGGGTACTTAGTACCCCTTTGGGGTACCCCTCTGGGGTACAGGCCAGAGGTGCAGAGGCGGTGAGAGGATTCACCAGAGACAAAGTGGGGAACAGAATAGGCAGACTGACAAGTGAACTGCTGAGGGAGCAGTGGGTAGGTCAGGAGAGGTCTGCCGCACCACTGCACCATGTGAGTCACCTCTGGGACTGGGGATCAAACTCATGTGGAGGTGGCTTTAGTTTCTTAGTGCTGTGCTTTAACCCGCTGTGCCACCAGAGAGGGACAGGATATGATTTTTATCACAGTGTATTAATAAAATTGAATGTGTGTGTGTATATGTGTGTGTGTGTGTGTGTGTGTGTGTGAATACATGTATGTATTATTTTGAAGGACAGTTTCTTCTATCAGAATCAGTAGGTAGATACTGATTGTTAAGTTGAAGGCTTAAAAAAATAGACTTGCCAGCCCTCCCTGGGGCGCAGCGGGTTAAAGCACTGCACTAAGAAGCTTAAGCCACTTCCTTATGAATTCAGTCCCAGCCTGCCCCGAGGTGACCACGTGGTGCGACAGCCCTCTCCTGACCCACCCGCTGTTCCCCTCAGCAATATACTTCATCGATCTGCCTGTTCTGCTCCCCACTCTGTCCCTGGTTAATCCTCTCACCCTCCGCATCTCTGGCCTGTACCCCCGTTCTGTATGAATAAATAAATAAAGCTTTAAAAAAAAATAGACTTGCCTATATAATAACATTAACTCCTATTTATGTACCAGAAATAAATATCATTCCTTTTTTTTTTTTTTTGGAATGTTTATTAAGTAAATGATTCTTTTGATTTCAGTTTATGATGTGACAAGAAGGGACACCTTTGTTAAACTGGATAATTGGCTAAGTGAATTGGAAACATATTGCACGAGAAATGACATAGTAAACATGCTAGTTGGAAATAAAATTGATAAGGTAAGAAATCAGATGCTTGTTGCATTTGGGCTCTTAATTTTGGTGGCCTTTCTTAATTTTTGCCTTTATCTTTTAGGAAAATCGTGAAGTTGACAGAAACGAAGGCCTGAAATTTGCCCGAAAACATTCCATGTTATTTATAGGTAAGTGTGAATATTTATGCTTCCATTGTTAATAACAGACTTTATTTATTTATTTTTCTTATTTTGTTGTTAATTTATATATCTATTTACATTATTGTTCATTTTAAAACAATGTTTACTTCACCCCTCCCACTTCACCTGCCTGTCATCACCACAGTCCCCCACATTCCTCCCTCCCTCCTTTGTTCTGATCCCTCTCCATCTCCCTTCCCTGAGTTTCTGCTAAATGTTTCTTTTTATGAACCATAAAAATAGGCATTTAGTTTATAGTTGTCTCATGCTATAAACTCTGACTATAGAAACAGTTCTCTCTTTTTTCTTCTGTAAACAAAAAAAAAGACCATATTGTATGATGTCCTATAGAACACAGTGCAGTCACTCTCAGGGGTAATGGCATTCAGTAAGCTAAGTGCCATGTGCTGAAGTTGTGCCTTGATAATCCACGGTGCTGGCAGCATTGCACTGTGACCTAGGAGCTTGTTAGAAGTGAATGCTTCATCTTGGGCTCTAATCCAGATTTTCTAAGTCAGAATACAATTTTAACAAGATCGTCATGTGATTTGTATGCACATTAATATTTAAGAAGCATGGTGGAACAGGGTTGGCAGGCCACAGCATGGGTCAGGTTGGACCCACCACGCATTGGAAGACAGCCATACCCAGTCATCTACATATTGCTGTTGCTGCTTTTGTGCTTCATGACAGAATTCAGTTATGTTCATTTGTTATAACAGAAACCACATGGCTTTCAAAGCCTAAACAGCCTGACAACATTTTGCTAACCCATCATCTAGAAAAATGGACTGGCTATATCGGAATTACCTGGGCAACTTTTACAAGTATACATCCCTGGACTTTTCAGAGTCTGGAATGCAGTTAATAAAAAAACTACTGTGGTTGATTCTGACAATTTCAACATTAGGAATTGCTGATTTAGCTATTTCAGTGTTAGAACTAATTAAGAATTAGGAAATGGAAACAGGAGAACATCATACATATATACATAGAAGCAGGGTGGTCTAAGTGGAAGGTATAAGGAATGTCAGAAAGGAATTGAAAAACTACCTGTAGTGGTAGCAGTAAGCTTACTTGCTGGATGTACTTTATGTCTCTACATCATTTTACTCAGTAAATATTGAATATTGAGGCTGTAACAGTGAACAAGGAAGACTGAACTCCATGCTTATGAAGTTTAAAAACTAGTACAGAAAGTGCACTCACATAAATTAAGTAGTGTTATGACAGAAATACAACATTTCTAAGGGGAGAAAGAATGTCTTAAGTAGTAGCGATTAGACTGCCACTTGGGCAGGAATCTGTCACCAGACAATTTAAAGAGGGAGTAGTTGAGAGAGAGGCAGATACTAAATGAGGTAGAAACAAACTGGTTTAGTGTGTTCAAGAAACAGGAAGAAGGCAGTGGGCTGGAGTATTTGGGTATTGGGGGAAAGGGTGGTGATGGGAGATGTGCTACAAGCAGATCGTTTTGGATATTGTAAGATATGGTAAAGAAGCGAGGGCTTAGTTGTGATATGATGTTGTTCTTTTAAAGAAATATTCTTTCAAAAAAACGCATTTATGTAGAAATGGAACATAAAGAGCAGAAACCAAAGGAGGAGAATGATTCTCATACTATGGTCCAGATAAGTGATGCTGTGGCTTTGGCAATGCTAGCAGCAGTGGTGGTAGAATGTTGACAGATTCAGGAAATACCTTGAAGGTACAGCTGCTCTTCTGTGCGGAAAGATTGGGTGTGGAGGAGAAGATCAAGGATAACTGGGTTTTTGGCATGAGCAGCTAAATAGATTGTACCACTCTTAACGGGGATGTGGAAGACAGTTAAGAACTGGTTTTGGAGGTAACAGAAATCAACTGTTCTGCTTAACTGTTGGAAAAACTTGATAGAAAAGAACTGTAGATTGAACCCTACAGTACTTCCAGCAATTAAATCAGCAGAAAGAGGAGGTGCCAGCAAACAAGGCTGTGTGTAAAGTGTGAATGGCATGCTGGTGAGAGGAAAAATTAGTGTTCAGTGTCCTGAAGTTAGGTATGAACAAAATATATATATAAAAAAAAGTGGTCAAGTTGTATCAGATGCTGTGAGATGTCAAATGAGATGAGGATGTTGGATTTGACAAGATCTAGAATTTTGGTGCTCTTTAAAAGAACAGTTTAAATGGAATGGTGAACAAAACCCTAATTACAATAATTTGAAGATAAGAAAATGGAAACAGCCTTTATGGATAACTCTAAAGCAATTTTCTTTCAAAGAGGTAGAGGACAGGAGGCAAGTTGGTTGGTTAGCTGGTGAATTAATAAGATAGATGATAATTCTGGCAGACTTTTAGGGCCATGGGGATGATCCTCCAGTGAAACAGAAAAGATGGGCTCCCAGGTACAGGAAAAGGGACTGGCCTTTGGACAGGGTAGTTCTTCCCTTATAGCAGAAGGATAAAGTCTGGGGTGTAAGCTCAACTTTGAGGGTTGGGGGGACATCACTGCTATTAAACCTGCAGGCAAAATTGCTGATTTGTCTCTTAATATACTGTCAACTAATCTATTTTTTTTGCCATAATAGTTTCCCAGAAAGGCAGAAATGGTCCAAAAAGAATGTACTATCACACATTTCCTTGAATTTCAGAGGCAAGTGCAAAAACCTGTGATGGTGTACAGTGTGCCTTTGAGGAACTTGTTGAAAAGATCATTCAGACACCAGGACTGTGGGAAAGTGAGAACCAGAATAAAGGAGTCAAACTGTCACACAGAGAAGGCGGCCAAGGAGGAGGAGCCTGTGGTGGTTATTGTTCTGTGTTATAAACTCTGGGAAACTCCATCTCTTGCATAGTAATCAGATAGTGACATCTCTCTGTATATAAACTCTTTAACTGCTATCTTAGGGACCTTGCAGTTTGCACATAATTTGTTTTGTATCATGACACTAATATTTGCAAGAAAGCGCCCCCCATTGGCTTTCCCAGGTACAATGTTATGGTGAGCATGCACAGTTTGCAGTTTGCAGTTTCTCGTGTAACATAAAATAGGTGTACCTTCACCAGTACATTTGATTTTATGATTTACATTTATCATGTGATTAAAAAATCCACCTAGTTTCTGTTGCTACAAAGTCTACTTTTGGTCTCCTTTTTACTTTACTACTCCTATCACTTACTGAATAATTGGTATATAGAACTTCTGGAACCACTGAGGGAGAGAGGTAACATCAAACGTAGCAGACTTCCTTTCAGGAATGCAGAATGCATGATTCACAGCTTTTCAAGGGTGTTTGCTGACAGATTCTCTTTTAGTACTAAGCAGAAGTCTCCAGTTCAGTAGTCCAGTCCAATTTACAATGAAATCTCTACTTACTCTGATAATTTTAAAGTAGCATTGGTATGTTGAAGAGGTTTGTTTTTTTTTTTTTTTTCTTTAATTTTCTTCGATGAGTAGCTCAGTTGTTTAATGAGAACTTCATTTCTGTGATGTGTGTGTGTTGATATATGACCCTTTGTGCAGCATTTTTAATTTCATGGTGTTCAGCAGAATAGCAATAAGACTTCCCCCCACTTTGGTTTCAGGACACAGTATGTTTATGTAACTCATGTAGTACTCATCACTTTTAAAGCAGTGCATTTTTTCCTTAAATGTTGGTGGGTTTGTCCAGGTACATCAGTTAAAGCTTGTGTACTGTTTATGAGTATCTGTTTCTTATGACTCCCATAATGGCTAGTTGATATTTAAAACTTATTTCTGTGTTTTGATGGTTGGGCAAAAAAAAAAGGTGTTAAATGACAGCTTGAGAAAAGCATATTGCTTCCAGATTTTGATGTTTGGGGGAAGTACTGTTGCAATGAAAATCTCCATAATTTACTGTAACAAGGAGTCAACAGAGTATCCAAAAAGTCCAACTTGTACAGACTAATAAATCTTTTCCACAGTATTCAGTTTTCTAACCTCTTGCTATTGTACATTATTTTTTTTCACTGATGTTCTTTGATTTACATTGATCTCTCTCTGCAAAACCACCAAATAAGTAATTTGTCCTTTCAGATTGGTCACTACACTACCCTTTATTTAAGAAGATACTGATACTAATTTCTGGGCAATTTGTCCTCTGACTATAATTACAAATGATAAATATTTTTATGGGTCATCTTCACAAGACAAGTGATAATGGATTAACTTCACACTGGGTTCTTTCTGAAATGTTCATCTTCCCTAAGAAAGCCTTGTGCTCTACTTGATTTACCATGCACTGTGCATTACATGTGATTAAAGGTTTTATACACTCTGTATGTTTTTACTAACTATAAACCATTTACTACTTTAATGTTGGAGAAAGTAGCTAACACATGTACTTACAGCTTGTGTTACACTGAAACTTTAGACTTGTAAAATCAATGTAGTGTGTATTGATAAGACGTTTTTGTTGCTTTTTCTCCTTGAGCTATATTATAATCTTTCTTTTCGTTGGATCGTTGTCTTAATTTGGGTCAGAATTTGGATACATGAGTCATTTAACTTTTAAAAACTAATTTTGTTTGATTTATATTGTAACCTTTTATAGTTTTTGAATAAATATAGCCTGCTTTCCATAGATGCATTTGTGCAGGAAGTATATCCATTTCTTTATTACTCTCATCCGCTGAGGAACATCTAGATATAGTCATTCAAATTATATGGCTTTCACTTTACTATTTTGTTGCAAGCTTATTATTTCATAACTGAAGTAGTTGTTAACATCTAAAATTAGTCAGTGAAATAATAGGGTTTTGTTCCTTCTTTTCAAAATTACTTAAAGTAGGTTCAAAGTGTCTACTAGATGGTGCAAATCGAAACAATTTGAATATAGTGTCTTGAGATCTAGGAGTAGTGACATACAGCTAAACAAATGACTTTAATTTCTGTTACCAGTAATAGTTATCTTTTATTGCAAGCTGCTTTGGTGCCAGGTGTTTTTCTATGTGCTGGATTATCCTTAAACCTCACAACAGCCATAGGGATTGTGTGGTACTCCTCTGTGACCCATTTTAAGATCAGGAATGGGGAACAGGTATATTGCCATATAGCTAACTAGTGATGGAGATGGGTTCCAGACAAGGCATTTCATTCCTTTTTTGACTTTTTCACTTCTGAGTGCATGCTCTTAATTTCTTTTGCTATGACTAGTTCTGGTTTTTGTTTGTTTGTTTTAATAGAGCATGCTGAAGGAATTTTTGCCTGTTTTATCATTCTTTATTAGATCAATAGAAATATTTCATAGTTTTTGATTATAAATTCCATTGATGTAAACAGACCTGTGAGTTGCTTGCCTAAAAGTTAAGTTAATGGAATATGGTCTTTTAGTTCTTTTATCGTTGCATGGTGGAATGAAAACCCCTGGCTTAGAAAAGAACTAAGTCAGGGCAACTGATGGTACTTTAATTTCCTAATTGTAATTGGACATTAAACAAATCTGGGAACAATGCTTTTGCCCAAAATTGAAATCTGGAACATGTTTTCATTTTTAAGGACTTAATTGCCATCTATAAATTCGTTGGTGTTGGCTTTTTAATTGAGTTCACTGGAATTGTACTTGGTTTTCATGTTACTCAAGAACTATGCGTGGTTTCTATACAAATGTGGGGCTTTGCATAAGACAGTTCTTAAAACACTACTGTTCTGTCTGTGGGATAGTACAGATTTCAAGGCCACAATATCTTTAAACACAGTTTAGTGTATATTTGTGAAGTTGACTTTAAAGTGGCTTGGGATGAGCCACTAGGTACTGTATGTAGATAATAGGTCTTCTCAGTATTCAAGCATTATTCTTTAATACCCCGCTGTCCTTTACTACCATACTTAAGCTTTTCGTTCATGTATTTCCTCTAGTTAGACACAGGGGGGAGAACATTTATCATTTTTCATGGACATTTTACTAGTTCTGACTCATAACTCTGCCAAAGTTAATCTATATCAAGCATAGAATACACCCTAGATTTTTTGTCTAGGACTGTTGGAAAAAGAGAATAGAAAGTAGATTGGCCAAATCAAAACTTGGAACTAAATATAGATTCACCCAGTAATCTCTTAACTTTATTTTTTTTCCCAAAATGGGAACATTATCAGGTTATAAGGGCAAAGGTAGTCAACTTCTGTTACAATATAAGACTTTAAGTGTTACAATTTATAACTTTTTTTTCCTAAGATTTATTTATTTGTGCATACAGAACTGGCCAGAGGCTCAGGGGCAGCGAGAGGCTTCACCAGAGACAGAGTGGGGAGCAGAACAGGCAAAAGGACGAAGTACACTGCTGAGGGGAGCAGCGGGCGGGTCAGGAGAGGTCTGCCGCGCCATGTGGGTCACCTCCGAGGAGGTGGGAATCGAACTCAAGCAGAAGTGGCTTTAGCTTCTTAGTGCTGTGCTTTAACCCGCTGCACCACCAGGGAGCGCCACAATTTATAACTTTTTTTTTTTAATATCTCCATTTTTATTTATTAAAAAGTTTATTTTTACATCATTTTTCACATTTTTTTTTCATCTCAATTGTAATCCCCACGGGTTTCCCATCACCAAATCACCCCTGTGCCACCACCATAGTCCCGTGCATTTCCCTCCCTTTCCCCCCCCCCCCCCCCCCCCGTTTTTGATCCCATTCCCCACTCCACCCCCACAGAATGTCTCTGGTCTATGGTTGTTCATTATTTTTGTTATTTTCTCGCCTGGTCCATTATACTCCTGCTATGAGTGAAACCATCCGGTATTTTTCTTTCTCTTTCTGGCTTATCTCACTAAGCATGATCTTTTCCAGCTCCATCCAAGTTGCTGCAAAAGACATGTGTTTCTCTTTTTTGGTTGCTGAGTAATATTCCATTGTATATATGTACCACATCTTTCTAATCCAGTCATCTACTTTTGGGCATTTGGGCTGCTTCCATGTTTTTCCAATTGTAAATAAAGCAGCAATAAACATGGGGGTACAAGTATCTTTTTCAACCAGTGTTTTTGTGTCTTTTGGGTAGATACCTAGGAGTGGGATTGCTGGGTCATAGGGAAGCTCCATGTCAATTTATAACTTTTAATGTTACTATTCTGTATTTAAAAATCAGTCTTTTTTTTTTTTATTGTGGTATATAAAACCTTTGTGTTTTTAGTGAAAGCTGTTTGCACAAACTTTTCCAGCAAGGTGAGCTGCTCTGAGGTCTGCCCTGTCGTCTCCCTTCTCGTCACACAGTATTTCTCACTATGAACCTAGTGAGCAGCAAAGTATGTAATTTCATTTGTTTTTACTGGTTACTAGTCAGTCTGACACTTTTAATATTTTATCAATTATTTGTGTTTAATTCCTTGTTGCCCCTCCAACATCCAGTTCTTTTTCTCCCAGTATGACCCATTTTTTCTTTGGAAGCTACCCCTGAGACCGTGCATGTGGCTTCCCTGAGGTTGTCACATCCCCAGCTCTAGAGTTCACCCCATTACTTTTAATCAGTTCCACTCTCCCCCTTCACCCACATACATGGTTCAGGAACAGATGAGTCTGCAGGAACCGCTGCAGAAGAAATGTGCTTGAAGACATGGTGTGAGGCTTACTGTTGAGAAACTTGCTACAGCTACATTTTCTAATCTGAAGGCGCCTACCTGCAGCAGACCCAAGAAATGAGAAGAATCAGAATTGGTGCCCTGGTGAAATCTGGAATCAACCAAATGGGGCCTGAAATGAGACCTTTTGAGTTTTTCGTTTAGGTGAATCAATAAATCTCTTTATTGTCTAAGCCAGTTTGAGTTGAATTTTTTTTCCTTACAACCAAATATATGCTATGTGCTGCATGTTCTTATTTAGAGTACTCATTGTCTATCAAGCTCAACATGTTGATGTTTACATAAGGAAGAAAAATGTAAAACTAGCTTTTGAAAAGCTCTGACTCTTAAACAGTCCTTAATTTACAGATATATACGCATAAATGAATGCACTTCATACATGTGGTTTTAAAAAATCTCTTGTTTTATAGATCTTATTGAATGTGGTCCAATTTGCTGTCACCTAAACACGCCCCTCCTCCTGGGGGACTGGAGTTGTGGGTGGTGCGTGTTCCCGTCCTGTGGTGCGTGTTCCCGTCCTGGGTTGTTCCGTGTTTCTGTAATGATGGAAATAAGTGTTTGTTACTCTCATTTACTTTACACATTTGGGTTCATCCTTTTATTCTTAATGTCGCTATTTCTTACCTAACAGTAGATTGTGGAAATGCATTCACGACATATATGCATCTAACATCTATTGTGAAGGTCATGTTGTTCTCACTCCATGATGTGGACGTAACTCAGTCTGCTTAATCCTCTATCAGTGGGTGTTTGCTGTTTTCCATTTCTTGGCCTCTGCAAATGTTGCTGCAGTAAATATTCTGTATACATTTATTTGTTTCTATCAATCTAAGAGCTGAATCGATGGGTCAAACAAAATGTGGTATGTTTTGATATGTCCTGTTAGTTGCTTTCCAAAAACAGTAACATTTTCCACTAACAATATGTCAGTATATGGCTTTCTCCCCAGATTTCTCTTATCAGGATAGGTTCTGAGATGTTGATTTTTGCCACCTTAGTATTTGTAAAGTGTAACTATTACTTTTAATTTAATGTTATATTTTGTGGATTTGTTACATGAGCTTTTTTTGTGTGTATTATTATTATTACAGTTATTAACCCTCAAGTTTATGGTAAAGCATTAGTTTCCAGTCTAATGTTTTGCTGAACTTTATGATGTTTTTAAGTTCTATTTTTATAATTTATAGCTTCTGAATTCCCCAACTCATTGTATATACAACCTCCCTAACCTTTTCTGATTCATATTTTTGAAGTTTCTAATAACTTAGAAGTCATTTTTGTGTGTGCCACATGAAAAGGAGTGGTCTTACTTTTTTCTCACATGTATAGCTGGGTACCAAGGCTGCACGTTAAGCAAACTTTCACTTGTATCTGAGATAAAATTCCAGCTGCTGGAATCTAGCTTGGGGCTGTTGTTTTGGAACCTCTTAATCATGGAAGGGAATGTATTTCTGTGTAATTTGTTTCCTTTAATTCTCTATTTTATTTTATTCTGTACTTTATTTAAAGCAGTCATAGAAATGGTTCACAGGGCTCCTCCAACTGCCCAGGGGCTTCCGGAGACAAACTTTGATGGTAGTGGCCCTGTACTGTTTTGCAGGGCTGGTAAGGCAAGTGCTCTTTTTCAGTTCGGTTTCACACCTCAGTCTTCAGACCACTTGGCCACTTTTCCTTTTTGTGGTTGCTTCTTAAAAGTTTCTAAAATGTAATGAAGCTACTAATCCTTTCTCGTGGCTGAGTACTGTCAATAATTTGTCCTTTGAAAATTTGAGATGTTACATAATTAGAACCTTTTTTAATCAAAGATTTTATTTTAATCAATTTTTTTCTAACGAATTTTAGCTAGAATCATTTCTGCATTAATTATGAGGAAACTGATTGTTGAATGATACTTGCTTTAGGAAACATGGGGTATATTTTCTAGGCTTTGTACTTTTTTAATTAAAAATATTCTATTGTTAAAGCACACTTACATCTGAGCTCAGAGAGCCAGTATTTTTGTTGATGGAAAGTGTTGCTGACTGTTGGGATGGTTGTGGCCGTGTCTTAAAATAAGGCAACAGTAATCATTAATTTACTCTTCTCTTCACAAAAGGTAATTTTATAGCAGGTGATGCTGTTTGATACCATTTTACCCAAGTAAAATTGGGGTCAGTCCTTTCAAACCCTGCTGCTGTCTTTTTTCAGCTAAATTTATATAATCTTCTAAATTCTTCCTTGTTTCTACCAGCTCCATAGCACCTTCACCAGGAGTAGGTTTATCTTAAGAAACCACTTTCTTTGCTCATTCACAAGAAGCAACACATTATTGTTCACCTTTTATCATGAGTTTGCAGCAATTCAGAGTCACATCTTCAGGCTGCTTCTAATTGTGGTTTTCTTGCTATTTTCACTACATCTGCAGTTATTTCTTCCACTGAAGTGCAAATCCTACAGAATAATCCTAGAGGGTTGGAATAAGCTTCATCCAAACTCCTCTTAATGTTGCTATTTAGACCTCTTCCCATCAATCACATTTTTTTTTTTTTTTGCCACAGAGGGGAAGGGGAGGTGAATTTCTTTTAATGTCTACATCTGACAAGAGACCTGTATAAGATCTTCCCTCAATATCCATAATATGTAAGGAATCCCTGTAAACCACTAAGTAAAATGGTGACAACAATATTGTTGAAAGTAAACAATTAAGCAGTCAGTCACAAAAGAGGATTTCCAAATGACCAGTAAACATGAGCCCGTGTTCAGTATCATTACTTACCAGGGAAATTTACATTAAAACCACAATGTAATACCAAACACAATCACAGAGTAAAAAGGTCTACAAGCCTGCCTGGTAGCACAAGGGCTTAACTCCTTTAACACAAGCCACCTCTGGCCAGGGAGCTGACCCACATGGCACAGCAGCCCTCCTGTCTCACCCGCTGCTCCCTTCAGTGTATTTCAGTAGATCTGCCTGTTCTGCTCCCCACTTTGCCTTTGGTGAAGCATCTCACCCCCCCACACCTCAGGCCTATAGCCCAGCTCTTGTGGAAGTGTTCCAGGGCAGGGAAAGGGGCACCCCAGAACCCCCAAGCCTGCCTGCTCTAAATAGGTTCTGCCATCTACCACATCAAGATGAAACACACAAGATCTTCAGTGTAGAGGAACTTTAATACAATTAGTGTGCAATACAGAAAAGATGTTATAGTTTCTAAATTAAAAACCCTAAGTGACCCATCCCCTTGTGGGTGAAAGTCCATCCAAAAGGGACTGTCCCAGAGCCTGCCACAAGACAGAAACACCTCCCAGCAGGAACCATAGAAAAGGGTCAGCATGGACAAGTCTGGGAGGAAAAGAGCAAAAGTCCAAGTCAAGATAAATGCTGCCATAGTGAACCACCCCAAAGGTCTCTCGCCCACATCTGTTTCACCCAGTGGAGGGCCAAGAAACAAGAGCCTCTTCACGTGTCTGCTCCATGGACCTCCCGCAGGTCTCCTGGCTCTCCATCCTGCTTCCTTTCTTCCTCAGACTTCTCTCCAGATTCTTCTCTCTGTTCAGCTCCACCCTCCTTTGGGTGGGCAGGGAACCTGGAACCCCCCCTTTTCCTGGGGACCACCCTGTTACAGAAGTTCCATGAAAATGCATCTGTTACTGCTTGTTAGCTCT